TTAAAAAAGGATTTCATTTATTTGACAGAGAGAGAGCACAAGCAGGGGGAGCGGCAGGCAGGAGGAGAGAGAGACGTAGGCTTCCGCTGAGCAAGGAGCCCAACATGTGGCTTGATCCCAGGACCCTGGGATCATGACCTGAGCTGAAGGCAGATGCTTAACGACTGAGCCACGCAGGCGTCCCCACAGCTGGGATTCAAATGGAAACTGTCAGGCTTGGGCGTCCTGGCACTTAACCACTCCTGGCTTGTTCACTGCTGAATCCACAGCTCCTAGAAGGAGGCCTGGCATGTTCACCGGAGGTTCACAGGAGGTGCTTCCTAAATATTTGTCTTTTTATTTTGAAACAGTGTAACACTCACAAGAAATTAGAAAAATAGTACAGAGCATCCTGTATCATTTCCACCCAGCTTTCCCCAATGGGAACTTAAGATGTAACCACAGTACATTGTCAAAACCAGGGCTGTGACATTGGTCCAATACCATTAGGTCAGGTACAGACCTTATTTTGAATCATGAAAGGGTTTTATTGTTTTTTTAAGATTTCTTAGAGAGAGCATGAGCTGGGGGAGGGGCAGAGGGAGAGGGAGAAGCAGACTCCCTGCTGAGTGGGGAGCATAATATGGGGCTCCATTCCAGGATCCTGAGATCATGACCTGAGCCGAAGGGTGACGCTTAACTGACTGCGATGCCCAGGGGCCCCATGGGAGGGTTTTAAAAGGAGGAGAGTTAGGAGCATCTGGGTGGTTCAGTCGGTTGAGTGGCCAGCTCTTGATTTCGGCTTGGGTCATGACCTTGGTGTCCTGGGATGGAGCTCCAGATCGGGGTCCTTGGCGGGGAGTCTCCTTAGGATTCTCCCTCTCCCTCTACCCCTCCCCCACCCACCCACCCACTCATGTGCACTTTCTCTCACTCTCTGTCCAATAAATCAATCTTAAAAAAAGCGGGGGGGGGCGGGGAAGAAAGTGATGACCTACTGTGCTTTGCAAGCACTGAGCCCTTCTTGTGTTAAACCTTGGGCCTGCGTCTCAAAAGCTATGAAGATCATGAGAGACACTGAATTTTCTGTGTGATGCTAAGCAAGTTTCTACCCCTCTCTGGGCTTCAGTTTGTCTCTCTGTGAAATGGGCTTTCCTCTTATAGTGTCATATTGAGAACTAATGCTCACTGAGCATCTGTTATCTGCCAGCCTCTGATATTAAATGCTTTGTGCATATTTAAAACATTTCTTCGGCGCCTGAGTGGCTCAGTTGGTTAAGCGTCTGCCTTCAGCTCAGGTCATGATCTCAGGGTCCTGGGATCGAGTTCCGCATCGGGCTCCTTGCTCAGCAGGGAGCCTGCTTCTCCCTCTCCCTCTGCCTGCCACTCCCCCTGCTTGTGCGCTCTCTTTCCCTCTCTATCAAATAAATAAAATCGTAAAAAAAAAAAAAAAAGAGGCAGAGAAGACAGGGGAAATGAGGAAACATGGGGAGGAGAAAGATCCACAATATGGGGAAAGGAAAAGACACTGAGTTGCCTGGAGAGACTACCTGGGCAGATAGGAACGGGGTGGGAGGGGAGGGGGTGAGTGAAACTGGGAGAGATGACGGGGAGAGAACCTTCTAAAGCAGGAGAGAGGTGAGCGGGTTGGAGGGGAAGACCGAGCCCCCGCCTGGGAAGGCCACTGCCCTTACTGGGGCCACTGACACAGAGACTCAGCTCTGGGGCCGATGAGAACTGAAGCCAACTTCCTTGGGCCTTTGCACCTGGGCTCCTCCTCCCCCTTCCTACCCAGATCCCCTCCCGACGCCCCGATCTTCACTTAGAGGCTGCCCGGAGAGGCCATCCCTGACCGTCCAGTCTGAAATTCCCCCGCCCCGAGTCTGGCTTTGCATCTGCAAAGCCCAGCTCGGCCTGGAGAGAGAAGCTGGGGGCTCAGGTGAGCGCTCCATCCCCGCATAGGCCCGGCCCATGGCGGGCAGCAGACTCCAAATAAAGGAGTGAGGGTGAATGGGTGAGGCTCAGAGCAGGGATGTGAAGCCACAGATCTCTAGCCGCAGAGAGAGTGACAGGTGGAGGCGTTTCCACCTGGGAATCTTGACTCCCCCCCACCCCAGCAAATCCCCAAAGCCCCAGCGCCCCACCCCCTCCAGCCTCTGGGGGGGAGGCAGGTGTGGGCGAGGGCACCCCTCACCAGTAGATCACTCGAATCACGATCTTGCTGTCCATCGGGAAGCTCTCAATGGTGGGAGTGAAAGTGTTGGTGGACTCAGGTAAGGTGGGGGCGAACGGGTCGGGACCCAGGATGGGCACCGGAACAAACTCGGGAGTGGAATCTGTCAACTTCGTGGCCGAGGAGTCTGCCCTCGAGGTGGAGCCAAGGGTGAGCCCCAGGAAATCAGTGGCCGATGGAGTGTGGACAAGAACGGACTCTTGCTTGGACCCGAATCCACTGGCGTCGGATGGGAAGTGCTTCACGCTCGGCTTGGGCGAAAGATCCTTGTCGGGCGACAAAGCGGCCTCCTCCAAAGCGGGTTCTGGGTGCGGATCCAAAGGCAGGACTGAGTCCGGGAAGGATTCCGAGGCAGGGACCGCGGCTGTGATCTCAATCCCAACCCGGGATGGAACTGGAGTTGGGGCCGGGGCCGGAGGCGCGGGCCAGATTGGAGTAGGCATCCGGGCTGGAATAGGGGTCTGGACCCGGGTCAGCATCCGTGCAGGAGTCGGGGTCCGGATCCGGGTCAGAGTCCGGACGGGAGTGCGGGTCCAGACCGGGGTTGGGGTCTGGATGGAAGTGGGGGTCCAGGCCGAGGCCAGGGTCTGGACGGGAGTGGGGGTCCAGGCGGAGGCCGGGGTCGGGATGGGAGTCGGGGTTTGGGCCGGGGTCAGCATCTGGACTGGATTCAGGATCCGGGCCAGGGTCTGGCTGGGATTCGGGGTCCAGGCCAAGGCCTGGGTCTGGACAGGAGTCGGGGTCCGGGCCAGGGTCCGGACGGGAGCCGGGGCTCGGGCCGGGGTCTGGATGGGAGTGTGGGTCCAGGCCGAGGCTGGGGTCTGGACAGGAGTGGGGGTCCAGGCCGGAGTCTGGACGGGAGTGGGGGTCCGAGCTGAGGCCCGGGTCTGGGCAGGAGTCGGGGTCCGGGCGGAGGTCAGGGTCTGGATGCGAGTCGGGGTCCGGGCCAGGGTCGGGACGGGAGCCAGGGTTCGCGCCGGGGTCTGGACGGGAGTGGGGGCCCAGGCTGAGGCTGGGGCCCGGACGGGAGTCGGGGTCCAGGCCGAGATCGGGGCCTGGACGGGAGTCGGGGTCCAGGCCCGGGTGGGGACGGGAGTCGGGGTCCGGGTGCGGGTCAGGATCTGGACGGCTTTCGGGGTCCGGGCCGAAGTCGAGGTCCTGCCTGGGGTTGAAGCCCGGACCGAGGTCGACATCCGGGCCGGGGAAGGGGCCCTCGCCTGGTTGTTCATGGTGGGGGCAGGGGGCCCCCCGGGGTAACGGGGGTGGGGGGTGGGATCCTGCCCGGTGCTCCTTCCTTGAGCGGGGAGAGCCTCACCCACACCAGGGTTCTAAAATGGGAGACGACCACAAGGGGGCACTGTGACATCGTGTTCCACCCGGTGCGTAGGTTCTATTGCTCCGGGCCAGGCACCAGGCGGGAGGGACCTCTAGATCTCACCTAAAAATTCCCATCCCTAAACCCCACCTCCAGGGTAAGGAACACAGAGATTGCTCCAGTGTTCTCCTCACTGTCGCTAAACATTCATCCGTTCAGTATATATTTCTTGAGTACCTGCTGTGTGCACATTCCTGGGCTGAGAGACTCCGACGTCAGAGCCCTAATCAGGAAAGCCCTGGTCCAGGGGCGCCTGGGTGGCTCAGTTGTTAGGCATCTGCCTTCAGCTCAGGTCATGATCCCAGGGTCCTGGGATAGAGCCCCGCATCGGGCTTCCTGCTCAGAGGGGAGCCTGCTTCTCCCTCTCCCACTCCCCCTGCTTGTGTTCCCTCTCTCGCTCTGTCTCTCTCTGTCAAATAAATAAATAAAATCTTTA